GGTAGGGGAGAAATGTATGTGGGGATGTATAGGATCCAGAAAGAGAATGGTATATTTCACAGAAAGGTGCAGAGATGGTGTGGACCACCCCAACCCTCTGTCTTGCTACAAACAATATTGCAAGGAGAGTCAACCCCTGGACCCTGTTTGGTCAAGTAAGAGTTTAACCTTTTTCTCCTCTGGGTAAGGTTGAAGTTTTGGAGTATAAGAAAGTTATCTTTAATAACCATTGACTGTTGACCTCTCTCCTATCTTGTTGACTTAAAATTGACACATTCCTTGTACCCAGAGGTACAGACTTTGGACCCGCTAAGGGCCCCATAGACCTCAGTCCCATTGCTCTAGTCATTAGACTATTCTCGGAGTCTATTGAAAATAAATCTGGGAGATGTTCAGATGTTCAGAAGCCTAATTCAATTCAATGAACTGCTTTATTGAACTGCCTTTCATCAGTTCCTGCCGTCCGAGAATGCATAACCTAGAGATGTAAAGAAATAATCACAAGGAGTCTTTCTTATCTGAGGGTTGTTATTGGAATCTCTCAAGTTACAAGACTATAGGAAAGTGAAATTGTCATAATACAAAAATATTCACTAGTGAATGTTTTAGTATTATTCTTCATTTCCTTCCGCTTTCTTGCCCCATCCCTTCCACTCTGTCAAATTTTCTTCTTACAGGTCTTCTAACACAAAGCTTCCCACCCACTGTGCTGGAGAAATTGATCCCCTTAGCCCTCAGGTTGGCCAGGTGAGACCAGGGGCCACCAGAGCCCCTGGGCAGGGGTCTGAGACTGAGAGCAGCCTTTCTGACAGTGTGCTCTGCATCATCCAGTCAGGGGGCAAGCATGATGTAGGAATGCTGCATTTGCTGCTTCCCCCGGCTGCTCTAAGGTTTGAGCTGAACCACCCGGGCAGTTATTTCACCAGGACCTGTAGAGTGTGCCATTGCCCACTGTGGACAAGGGGCCGTGGGCTTGCTGGCGGAGTTGGTATGGTGCGTTGGTATGAATGGTGGTGATGGTGGGTGGGGTGTTGAGGGGGCAGGGAGTAGGTGGGGTTTCCTGGTGGGTGCAACTCCCATTCTATCTTCACATATAATAGATAATTCTGTGCATTTGTGGCCAATGAGCCCTTTCAGTGCATCCAAGTTGCCTGCAGGGGGAATACTCTAACCAAGCACGCTCCTTCTACTTATTCGAGCTATGTCTTATTTGAATTACTTGCTTTGAAAAAGTTTGATTGGACTTGAATCTATTCCTATAATACAAAAGACTTTCAAAGTTACATTTATCGATGAAAGAAAAGAAATAAATGTTACATTCTTTAAATATTTCAACCGTTGTGATTTTTTGAACGGCTGTGAAATGGTCTTAACATTATTTTCACACCAGCTTGTGGCAACTTAAAGAGATTGTCCTTAAAAATCTTAATTAGGAATTATGCCCCCACCCTCCTAGTTTATCCCAGTGTGGCATACAAACAGCATCATTTTCTATGTGTGTCACAATGTCAACAAGGTTGCAAAGTGTTCTTCTGACATTCCTGCCTTGGGTTCTCCTTGCTGATCCCTCTGCCTGAAACAACAGCCTTCTGTAAAATATTCACGTGGGTCTTATCCTCACTTCTTGCAAGTTCTGATGAGGACATTTCAAGAGTCTCTTCTTCAAAGAGGTCTTGTCTGAGCCTCTTATCTAACCACCTATCACTCTCTGTCTCTTAAACCTACTTTATTTTTCTTCCTGGCACTTACAACTATCCAACATTTTATTGTTTATTTTCTGCCTCTCACATTGGATTATAAATTGCGTGAAGCCAAGAATGTTTTCTCTTTTTATTCACTGCTGTATGCTCCTGGTCTAGAATAGGGCTTGGAACCCAGTTGGTAGTCAATAAATATTTGTTGAATGAATTGATGAATTAACTGACCACCTAAAAATTTATTTTGTCTCAGACACATATCCTTACTCATCAGGAGAGTCTACTCTGGATGTCTTCATCAATGTCTTTGTGGTCAATCTCTAATGCTTGTTTGATATTGCATACCATACAATGCAAAATATATAACAGCAAGTGAAATTACAAATCCTTTACAATAAGAAGGATTTCGTGAAGTAGATAAAGGTAGTATTGGAGAACTGCTGAACTATTGGCAAATCTGGATCTAGCAGAGTTAAATCATGCAAGAAATTTTAAGAATGAAATGGAGATAACTGATAAGCATGATGAGAAGACAGAAGTTTCAAAAGAGAGTGATTTAAATATGAAAGAATTAGAAGAGTTATTGGTAAAATCAATGAAAACTTCGGAAACTTTTACAAAATGACCAATCTTATAAGTTTGCTTTGGAAGTCAAACATGAAGTAAAGAATATTATGAGAACGTATGAGGTGGTAGATGTTTTACCTTACTGTTATATAAATTGTCAGATAATTAGGCAATTCCCGTTAGCATATAGTCGCAATTATAATCAAAATTTGGTTAAATAAAAGATGAAGCAAACTTAGTTTTGTAATTTCTGGTTTTATTTCTAAAGTTCAAGTCTTGGTAAAACCTAAATCCGCCCTCCCCAACTATTTACTATGAAATTTTGATTCCCATTTGAAATGATTCACTTGCAATGGCCTTTTCCCGGTACACTTGTTCTTTGAGAACTGGGGTCACAGGCATGATAAGTACAATATTTAGAAGTCTATTCAAGGTTCAGGGAGGAGGTGTCCAGTTTGGGGCTTCATCAACAAGCAAACTGAGGTGGTAAGGGGCGAATGGAAGAGTTGTCTCCCAAGGCAACTAGGGAGGCAGCCTAGGCTTTAGGGTTGCATATGCTTGAGTTCAAATCTCTGTTCTGTCTCTTACTTGCTGTGTGAATCAGGGCAAATTACTTAACTTCTCTGAGTCTTTGCTTTCTCGTCTAAAAATTAATACATGAAAAAAATAGCAACGTTATATATAATGAGCAAATGAAGACATCTCAGTTCTGCTTTCTCCTTCAAGAACTTGGGTAGAGAAAGCTTAAATGTGACATTGCTCCTGTTGACCAGCTTTAGTTGGTTTTGAAGATTTGGAATTAGGTGCCCCTTCTACGGGGTGATGTTGTCTATAAACACCCAGACATATCAACAAGTTATATCAGAGGTCCACTCCTAATGATTGAGAACAATTCCTTCTTTGCTAATGTTTACCTGCTACCTGTTCTGGAGGGTCCATCTGAGGAGCACATGGGTGGAGTGGTGGTGGCGGCAGCAATGGTGGTGGCAACAGGCCTCAGTGGTTTAGTGGGAGATCCTAGCTGGAAAGTGCTAGTGCGGAATCCAAGGGGAGCAAAGGCCATACTTTCTGCCTAGGCAACAGGGAACAGAGCCAGGCAACAGATTTCAAATTCTTTAATTCAGTGAACTGAAGATGTCCTCAGACTCTTCAGCTATTAATAGTTAATTTACTGTGTACCTAACCCCCGCTATGGTCTCACTTAATGTTTGCTTTTGAGGTAAGTACTATTATTACCTTTCTCCTCATTTTCCATATGAGGACACTGAGGCTCAGAGAGGCTAAGTAACTTGGCCAAGACCTCACAGCTAATGGCAGAGCTGGGATTATAATCCAGGTCAAATTCCAGAGTTAGTTCTTTCAACCAGCACACACAGCTCCCAGTTACTGTATAACTGTATTTACTCTAATTGCCACATGGATTGACTTTCACTTGTAAAATTAGCTGTTGGTGGACCGTCCTGGTCCATCTGCTTGGCTGAGGTAATTTATCATGTTGGCAGAAGAATAGAATGTGGGCTAGAAGAGGACAGACAAGGAATGTCAGCCGATGAGGCCACTGTTCAATCATCAAATATTTATTTAGCAATACTTTGTATCAGGCAGTGTTTTAGCTGAACAAGACATGGTTCCTCTCAGGAACTCACAATTTATTAGCAGACAGATACAAAAAGGAAATTGTACTACAGTAGGAAAAGAGCAATAACAACAGTACCTGAGGGGCATTCATTATGCAGGGTGGTCAACTCTGCTTTGGGAATTTGGGGCAGGCTTCACAGAGGGAGAGAATTGAGCACTCCCTTGAAAGACAAATAGTCAGGGGTAGATTCTCGCGCCTGGCAGAGGCAGCAGCTTGTGCCAAAGTGAGGAGGTATGACAAAGTGAGGAGGTCGTTTGGTGGTACTGGATGGTAGGGTTTGAAGTGGGGGAAGCTGCAGGACAGGATGCTGGTGACGAGGGCAAAGGGACTTAGAACATGAAGGGTCTCCTCTTCTAGGCCAAGGAATGTGGATTATTATCTCTAACCAAGGGAGAAGCTTTGAAGGATTTTAAACTGGAAAACAACATGTCTGCACTGGATCCTTCCTGTTTGCCCTTCCATATACACTCTCCATCATCTTTGCTTTGCTCCGTGCCTTAGGAAGCTGACCTCCACGGACGACATCAGTCAGTGTATTAGTTTCCTAGGATTGCAGGAACAAAGTACCACAAACCGGGTGGCTTATTCCTTCACAGTTCTGGAGGCTAGAAGTCTGGAACCCAGGGGTTGGCAAGGTTGGTTCCCTTGGGAGGTTCTGAGGGAGAATCTGTTCCATGCCTCTCTCCTAGCTTCCAGTGTTTGCTTGCTCGGCGATCCTTTGTAGACGCATCTCTCCAATCTTTGCCTGTGTTCACATGGCATCCTCCAGTGTGTCTGTGTCTGTATGTCTTATCCTCTTTTTTTTTTTTTTTGGTGGGGAAGATCAGCCCTGTGCTAACATCTGCCAATCCTCCTTTGTTTTTTTTTTTGCTGAGGAAGACTGGCCCTGGGCCAACATCCATGCCCTACTTCCTCCACTTTATATGGGACGCTGCCACAGCATGGCTTGCCAACCAGCGCGTTGGTGCGTGCCTGGGATCTGAACCGGTGAACCCTGGGCCACCGCAGCAGAGCACATGCACTCAACCACTTGTGCCACCGGGCTGGCCGCTTATCTTCTTTTTATGAGGACAGTCATAGTGGATCTAGCTCACCCTACAGTATAAGCTCATCTTAACTTGATTACATTTGCAAAGATCTTATTTCCAAATAAGGTCACATTCACAGATGCCAGGGTTAGGACTTGGATATATCTTTTTTGGGGACACAATTCAATCCACAACAGTCAGCAACCTTGCCCTCTGAGTTTTGGTTAGGTTAGGCCATTGGGGAGCCAGGGCAGGGGATCAGAAAGAGGGAAGAGAATAAGGTCAGGCAATTTATTTCCCCAGCTCTGTACTTTTGGGGTCACCATGGACTGCCTTTGTCTGTCAGCTGAAGGTCACAGCTCTTGAGAGGTGGCTCCCTCTACATCGTCAACCTCTCCTTCTCTCTCTCATAATTGCTCTCTCCCCTTGCCTCATTAGGCCTAGGGATGGTAAAAATACCTTGCTGTTACTAGTCTGAGGGTATTTCATTATCCCTATGATTTCTCTATGCTCTGCCCAAACTTTTTGAAATAATCTCTAGATTAAAATTTCCACAAATTACATAGTTTGAGTGCCATCTTATTCCCACCAGGATCTTGATGGAAACAGTGACAATATTTTTATTTTAGAATAATTTCTTAGGCAGCAGAGTAGAATATGGATTGGAAAGGGAGGCAAGAAAGGAGGTACTGAGACCAGAGAAGACATTACAATAATTCAGATAAGAGATGATTGGACCTGACCTTGGATGATAGTAGAGATGATTGGACCTGACCTTGGATGATAGTAGTGATGATGGAGAGGAGAGTAGGGCTGCACAAGATATATGGAGATGGAATTAATATGATTGGTGTAACCCTTGTAACCAACCAGATTCATCCTCACCAGATACTTGCTAGGTAAGGGGAAATTCTATCCTGTAGATTATCTTGTACCAATTTCAAAACAGGTGAAGATCTACAGATCAGAAGAAGAGAAGCAAGTAGGACAGGTGCCCCCCAAGTTTTTAAGTAATGTGACATGGAGACGGGCTCGGAGGAATCAGGAACAAATCGAGTTTTTAAGGGTTTCAGTGTCCTGTCCCACTGGGTCAGGATGGCATTTCTGGCTCCATCCCATTTTCCAGGGCCTATTAGGCGATACTGGTAAGGAGTACATGGTCCAAAAAAAACTTCCCAAGCTAGTCTGGGATCCTTGAGGAAGAGAAATGGGACATTGGGCTTCGCGCCTATGCATGCAGTGAGGTCATCGAGGTAGGAAATGAAGTCGAGCTTGTCTTCACTGCTATCTTTCATCACCCCCCTGAGAGGAAAAAAGATGGATCACTTTTCATTCTCAAGTTATATTCCTCCTGCCATTTTCTTTCTTTTTATTGGAGTCAAACTATGTTTGGAAATGTTTTTCTATGTTGGAAAGAAAAAAATAAGAGGAGTTTATCTACAGAGGGTATTTGTGAGGGTAATTAATTTTGTTAAAGGAGATGGTTAAAGGAGGCAATTGCGAGAGGAGCTTTAAATAATGTTTTAGGTTCTCGAATTTCATATGAGCATAAAATCTGATCGGTCCAAATACAATAGTTGTTGAATGAATGAACATGACCAGAAAGCATCACATATGTGACCACCTAAATTATTATTATTTTTTGTGAGGAAGATCGGCCCTGAGCTAACATCTAACAATCCTCCTCTTTTTTTTTGATGAGTAAGACTGGCCCATGCCCATCGTCCTCCACTTTATATGGGACGCCGCCGCAGCATGTCCCGACAAGCAGTGTGTCGGTGCGCGCCCGGGATCCGAACCGGCGAACCTCGGGCTGCCGCAGCGGAGTGCGCGCACTTAACCGCTTGCGCCACTGGGCCGGCCCCTAAATTATTTTTATTGATGTTAATTGCGAGTCGAGAGGGCCATACTTGGTGTACCGGTACTAAACATGACACAGATATGAGTATGTGAGTATAGCCTATGATACAAGTATATCCGTATGAGTATAATGTATCTGAAGGCTTTATTCCTAACTATTTCTGTTGTTGGTAAACTTTCATGATGTCCCAAACTCATTCATTCACTCATTCAATAAATAAATATTGAGTATCTTTCACATGACAGGCACCATCCTAGGTGCTGGGTGTTCAACAGGGAATAAGACAAAGTCTTTGCTGTCAAGGAGCTTACATTCTAATGGGGGAAATCGACAGGGTATGAAAAAACAGCCAAGGGGATATGTAATATATCAGGTGGTAACGGGTATTATGAAGAAATACAAAGGAGGGTAAGGGGGAGAGGCAATGACGAGACTGGGTGGGTTGCCATTGTATACGGTGGTGCCAGAGACGGCATCTCTCTTATGAGGCCATATTTGAGCAGAGGGAGCCTGCAGGTATCTGAGGGGGAGAACATTCCAGGCTGAGGGAACAGTAAGTGCAGAGGTTCTGAGGGGGCTATGCTCGGCATGTTGAGGACCAGGGCGGAGGCTGGAGTGACGGAAGTAGTGTGGGTGAGGTGGGAGAACGGTAGGCGAGGAGGGCACAGAGATAGCTGGTTGCTCCGTCGAGCTGCGGAGCTGCAGGGAAGTTTCTTGGCAGTGAAATTGGAAGCATCGGAGGGTTTTGAAGAGCAATGTGGTGCGGTTCACTCTTGATGTGGTGTCAAGACAATAGCCAGAGTAGAAGCAGGGAGACCAGATAAGAGGTGACAGCAAGTGTCTTGGTGAGAGATGAAGTGGCCTGGACTGGGGTGGCAGCAGCAGGGGCAAGAGAAGGGTCTGGATTCTGGATTTATTTGCAGGTAGGAGCTGACAGTATTTTCTGGTGGGGGTGTGAGAGAAAAAGAGGAGAAAAGTATCCCTCCAGGGTTTTTGATTGATCAACTGGAATGAATAGCCATTGACTGAGAAGCGGAAAAGTCTCAGAGAAGCCCATGTGCAGGATGGGCGGGTGGGTGGTGGAGGTCGAGAGTTAGTTTTTGGACATATTAAATTTAGATACCTTTTACATATCTTAGTGCAGATATCTAGAGGGAGCTGGAGTTCTGGGGATGGATTTGGACTAGAGACACAAGTTTGGGAGCCATGAGTATATGGTGGCATTTGAAGGCAGGGGCCTGGATGAGGTTGCCTAGGAGTGAGTGTTAATAGAAGTGAGAAGAGCTCTGAGGATTAAGGTTGGGTTCACCAATTTTTAGGAGTGAGGAAGAGGAGACACCAGTAAGTGCGGACAAAGAGCATCCTGAGAGAGAGGAGAACAAAGACCAAATGGAGTTCCGGGTTCAAGTGAAGACAGGATTGCCCTCTGCTGGGGGCCAGCTCTGTGTTCCACTGGGGTGGCCTGGTGCCCCCAACTGACATGTCTAAGGCCACAAATCTAGTTGATGTAAGAGTAAAGACTAAAAACATGTTCTTCTGACCCTTAATGCAGTTATTTCAAACCCACCATACTGCTTCTCTAGGAATGGCTTTTATATTGAGAATCTTTTTTTTTAATGGAATATATTGGTAAGTTTTCCCTGTAGCAAGCTATAGTTCTTACCTTTCTATGAGTTGCTCCTTTTTAGCAATCTCAGCCATCAATTTTTGGGATGGGGGTATCTTGCAGAGTCCTGTGAGAAAAATTGGAAACAACATTAAAGTCACACATGGCTTTTCCTTTGAGTTCTTTTCCTGGTCATGTCTGGCCTCCCGCTGCTCCAACCTCAGGACATGTGATAGTCAAAGCTTAGAAGGGAATCCAAGTGCAGAAGATCATTTTCTGGAGGTAAGATCCCCCTCCAAACTCACTTAACCAGGGATCTCTACAGCCAGAATTGTGAGGATGGACGCCTTGTGGCCCAGCCCTCAGCCTGGTCCTCACTGGTCATCTGCACCACTCCCTTCATCTGCTCTCATATTATATATATTTACATCTCATATTATTTATATTATATTGTTTATATACCCCCACATTGTATTTGTGTGTGTATGTGTTATAGCTATTAGTTGGTTCAATGGAAACACTTAAAATGACCCCATTTTTATAACCCTGCTTTGGCACGTCTTCACTTTTGTTACACGGGGAGCCTCAGGCCTGGAAAGGGCCCGGCAGTCTCTCAGTCTCACAGAGGCTCCGTCTGCTTGAGTTGAGAGGACGTGCTTGTTCCCAATCTCCCATCTGTTCCCAAGTCTCACCACCTGGACTCTGCTCTGCTGCCCAGTCATGGCCCTTCAGGTGCCAAGTGCCCACCCCAGGGTGAGGGGTTACTGTCCACATGAGATAGGTCTGACTTAGCTCTCTAGTGTATTTGCCACTAGGGTCCCATTTATCCTGTAAAAAGCCAGAAAGACTTTACTTGGTGGTTCCTGGGTTGCCTCTTGGAGGCTCTCTGGTGAAGCAATTCCTCCTATGGTGCGAACTTGACTTTTGTCTTGTCAGCTCTCTCATTCTGATAGGCATTTTTGAGCTCATTATAAAGTACTTTAAAAAAAAAGTCTTCTGTAGTTTTAATGTAATTGGATAATGCTGTGAAAGCACTTTAATTGGTCTTAAAGAAATAAAAATATGTGACAATTTAATGAAAGGCTGTGGAATTTTTCTGTAATGTAAATAAATGAGATTTTCTAAGCTCCTCCTCCTCTTCCTCCTGGCTCACCTCCCCCTGACATTCAAATAACATGTTTGCCCACTTAGGAGAACATACAGTTTTGTTTTTTGTTTGGTGAGGAAGATTGTCCCCGAGCTAACATCCATGACAGTCTTCCTCTATTTTGTATGTGGGATGCCACCACAACATGGCTTGATGAGTGGTGTGTAGGTCCACGCCTGGGATCCGAACCTGCGAACCCCGGGGCCGCTGAAGCGGAGTGAGCGAACTTAACCACTGCACCACCGGGCTGGCCCCAACATACAGTTTTAAGGTATGGTTGATATCTCTTACATTTGTACAGTGTGATAGAAGTCGAAACTACTTAGTACTGTGTTATGTGCTATTTATAAATTATTGGTGATTGTTTTTATCCATTAAGGACAAAATTCTGCTAAAGGACAGCTGGTTGGCCCAATTGTGATTGCTGTTTATATTTAAAAGTCATACAAATGCAATTCTTTAAAATGCTTACTAATCTAAGACTTGCCCTACTTTAGGGAGAAGTGATAATAATAGGACCAGGAAGAACAGCAGCCATCACCTCCTGAGCATTTACCGGGTGCAGAGTACCCTGCTAACTGCCTTGTAGACATTACCCACTTTACAACATCCTTGTAAAAGAGGCTTTATATCACCATTTTATAGATGAAGGGGCTGAGATTGAGAGAGATCCTCACAAAGCCAACGAGTTTCAGAGTTGGGATTGGACCCAGTCACTTGTGCTCTTACAGTGATAACAACAGCAGTTAGTGTCCAGTGTCTAGAATATTTTTACAGGCATTTCTTAAAGGTTCTTATCTCCTCAGATCCCAACTTTATTTACAGTGTATGTTACTCTGATATCTTTCTTTGGAAGCAATGTAAAATTCTACTTCTAGTAATGAATGGAAAAGCTTAGGAGTAAATAGACTAGACTAGACTGGAGTAGACCAGAACAGAATAGGATCCTGAAGCTTCCAATAATTTCAGGTAATCTGAAGAATGTGATTATATTCTGTCATCCAAATTTATCCCATCTACAGAGTCAAAGCCTCTTTTTCCACTCAGCCACATTAGTGACATAAGCACACACATCATAATATTATACACATATAAAATTAATTACTCATTAAACTTTTTTTTTTGTTGATATTTTATGTTACTTTAGCTCACATCTGCTTGATTTTGGCTAAATCATAGGGCACTAATTTGAAGACTCAGTTGATCACCAGGGCTTTAAATGGAGTCGAGGTACCTTTAAATACTCGTGTGGCCCATCGTGCTTGGACCTCCGTGCCTGACAAGATGGATCCTTTCAGGCCAATGAAGCCAATGAGAGCTAGTGTTGCCCTCTCTAGGTTTGAGGGAAAGACCTGCTTGTACAGGAACAACTTCTTTGTACAAAGGCTTCTGAGAGGTTCTTCAAAAAAGGGAAAAGAAAATGTGTATCCCGTAGTGAAGATCACAGTATCGATGTTTTCTTCCACTGTCCCATCTTCAAAGAGAGCGGAGGTTTCTGTAAACTCCTTCACGCTGGTTTTCATGGTGACTGTCCCACAGAGGATACAGGTTGGCAGCTCATCATTCACAATAAATTTTGGTTTTTTCCTTTGACACAGAGGAGAAAATTACTCACTGTAGTTGTATCTATGAGACCCCTCAGCCAATGATTTATTTGGTTAATTCAGGGAAATTGTCTGCCAAGCCAAGGGAGCGAATTGACCGATGTCTCACTCAAAGTTCCCCAACTTACTGTTTCTGTAACAGGTTTGGTCTCCCTCCTTCCGCTAGGAGGCATGTGGAGAATGACTAAACCTACTCTTTCCTGCCTGGGGTTTACAATTCTCTCTCTTGGAATTAACCTCTGGAGCAATGCTTTCCTTGGAGTGTCAGGCTTGAGTCACAACAACCCGTGTGATGAGCAGTTTTGGGTCTCACATCACCCGGGCCTCAAAGGATTGACATTAGGCAAAGAGAAAATTAGTAAGAAACTTTTTGAATAAAAATAAAAAAGTCTGAATCTGTTTATACTGATAAATATTTTCATTATGAATATCATTCTACCCAATCACAGCAGACATAATGTCTTTATAAAATTTACATATCAAATCATCTATTGGCATTAATTTTCCTTATGAGTTGAAATATATCTCACCAAAGAAAAATATTTAGGTCAATCATATAATAAAAATTGCATTTAGAGCTAGCCCGGATGGCCTAGTGGTTAAAGTTTGTGGCGCTTCACTTTGGTGGCCCAGGTTCGGTTCCCGGGCATGGAACCACACCACTAGTCTGTCAGTTGCCATGCTGTGGTGGTGGTTCACATAGAAGAACCAGAAGGACCTACAACTACAATGTACAACTATGTACTGGGGCTTTTGGGGAGGGGGAAAAAAAAAAAGAACAAGATTGGCAACAGATGTTAGCTCAGCAAAAAAAGAAAAAAAAAACATTTAATGACCTTACATGCATTTCAAAGGTTTTCTTTTTCTTGCCAATGCGCAATTCTATACAGATGTATATTAAAATACATAATTCCAGGAATTCCTATTGGAAATTCATACCTCTAATCATTTAGCCAGAGTAGACATTTATTAAGGGTTAGTGAGAGCTGGCCATCTGTACTCACTGATACTGCAAATATTATATTTGTAGGTGACAGCCATTCGAAGATTCCTCAAAGCCAATTTAAATTTCCTGATTTTCAAGCTGGAAATGAAAAGTTTTCATGTTTCATTTTCTTCTAGCCTCATGAATTACTATTTTTGCTACCAGACAGAGAATACTCCTATTTCAAGAACTACTGTGGTACCTGATGGACATTGTATTAAGGAAATAAGCTTAGAACAGGATAAACAAAGACAGCATCACAATTGTTGAACATTTTGAGTTCTGAATAAAATAGAATGAGAAATACTGATTCAATAATTTTATCATTAAATAAAAAAAATTTAAGTACCCCTTTGGAATACTTAATCCATAATTCTCATGGTTAAATCTTTTATTACTCCTCCTCTCTTGAATCCACTTCAGTAAACATGAAGGCAGAACTTGTGCAATAACATTATGGCATCTTCTTATAGCCATCATACTTAATGGATAGCCTCCTTCTGAAGAGCGGCTCAGAACCCAGCTACCAGTTCTGGTACTGAGAAGTACCTAAAAAGTAAGGCAAGAAGGATAAATACATGTCCATCATTTTGTAGTATTTTTCTTCCATGTGTTTCAAACGGTCTTATAATATTCTGGTCTTATAGCAACAGAGGACTGGTGAATTTGTACATTGATCTACAAACCACTATCTGTTTCTCCCTCTGTCATTGTTTTCACAAATCACTTTGACCTGACCTATATATCTGTTAAGTATTTTCATCATGTTTAATATAAAGAATTGTAGTACCAGTAATTACGCAGTTTTTCAAAATGCAAATAATGTTGAAATTAAAGTGCAGTTTAGAGAAAGCAATTTTAACTGAATTAAATAAAAATCTATTCTTTCTGGATCTAATCATTGTCCTATAATTTATGTTAAAGTGGAATAGATTTCTGATTTGTGAATCTATGCTTGGACTTTCTAAAATCATTATGTACACTTCTTGGGCAAAGTAACAGTTGCTTTTATCTTAAAACAAAGTATAAATCTGACTTCTTTTTTTTTGAGGAAGATCAGCCCTGAGCTGACATGCATGCCAATCCTCCTCTTTTTGCTGAGGAAGACCGGCTCTGAGCTAACATCTATTGCCAATCCTCCTCCTTTTTTTCCCCTTTTTCTCCCCAAAGCCCCAGTAGATAGTTGTATGTCGTAGTTGCAGATCCTTCTAGTTGCTGTATGTGGGATGCCGCCTCAGCATGGCCAGACAAGCGGTGCGTCGGTGCGTGCCTGGGATCTGAACCCGGGCTGCCGGTAGTGGAGCGCGAGCACTTAATCGCTAAGCCACGGGGCCGGCCCCCCTAAATCTGACTTCTAACAGAAAATTGGGAGATGTTCAGAAAACAACCTCCCCTTTCTATTCTTACACGGAAGTTTTGCCAGAATTACAAAGAGAGAGTGTAAAAGAAAGCTAATTGGGCTGGCTAGAGCAATTTGCCCATTTAGCGTTGTTTCTGAAGGAGCATCTCTGAAAAATGCCTCGTGGTCTGGCATCCACAATTTTCCTAGACCTTTCTCGGAGATGGTTCAGTTCTGTAAAGCATGGATTCTTAAATAGTTGAGGGAGGATCATGAGTAGCTTTAAGGATATCAGAGGTTTTTTTCCTCACTCTGTGTCCACATAATTTAGCAACTGGCCAGTGTGTTTTATAATCTTGAATACCTCTCCGGTCACCAGAAATGATGCTGGCAGTAAGGGCATGGATTCAGAGAGGTGTACCTGAGCTGCGATTTGACTGAGCTCCACTGCAATGTCCCCTCCGGTGTTCCCAAGACCGATCACTAGGACGCGTTTGCCCTCAAAGCCATCTGGGATCCTGTATTCTTGACTGTGCAGGACCTGGCCTTTAAACTTATGGATTCCTGAGTGGAAGGAGGGATCAGAAAATCAGAAATATTTAAAGTTATAATTCCCTAGTATGCAGGCATAGGGTCTGTGGGAAAAGAGAAGTCCCAGAAACATGGCAGCGCTTTGCTCCTGCTGCTAATTGCAGGAAGTAGAACCAGCATATCATCCCCTACCCCGTTGGATGCCGTGCCCCCAGATATAGATTTAGTACACCGTGCCTTGTTAAAAATATAGGAGAACTTATATTCTGTATCAGTGTTTCCTTTTAAAGCCATTACTTAGGGAAATCAAGTTTACTGCAGACAATAAGAAATGTCTTACGCATGACCCTGAACACCCTAGGCAAGGAGTAGATTATTGATGCAAGTTATTTTACCTAATAGATATATGCTATAAGAATGTGATTTGTGTATATAACATGTTTACAAATTGAATTTTAACTCAATTAAAATTTTCCACAAAAGAAATTTTATGGCAAGTTCTTGTGTAAATAAAGTAATTATTCTTGTGATTTAGGCTGTTACTTATACCTTATGCTTATTTTACTTTATGCTTTATTGTATGCTTAATGCTTTAATACACTGTATGCTCATTTAGACTTTATTTTTATTTATATTTGTGTTTCTGACTCAACTTGCAAGCTCCTAACATTCTGCAAATGGACGTATCACTTATGATATTTACATATGTGAGAAGGGCTACCAAATATTTCTCCTCTTTATTTATTTTTGGTAATTATCTCTGTGGCATATATAAAAGACATAAATCATGGATTCACATAAACTAGGAATGGTAGTAACAGTGGAAGCAGAGGTCTTTACAGTGGAGGCTGCAGCAATGGAAATTATTCCATTATTATAATGAAAATTATAAGAGGTGCCAGAGGAAACAACAGTGATGGGGCCAGTGACAGTGACCATTAGACCCATTGATGGATGAGACGAAGCACTGACAAAGACTCAGAGAGGGAAGCTCTGCAGTTTAGAGGACCTGGCAGCCTCCCACCACAATGCTTCAAGTACTTTTGAAATTTTAATGTACAAAGATGAAACTATCTCCTAGAATATATCATTCTCCAACCATTCAGTCATTGATTCATTAATTTACTCAATAACATTTATTGAATAGCTACTATATATAACATGATGTTTTAATAGGATTCTTTGCCTGCTGAGATCAGAAAAGCTGAAAACTAAATACAATAGTTGCCACATTCCAAGTGAGGTGCTAAACCAACTATGCAGAGTTTGCAAAGAATGGTACATAGAAGACCAGTTTTGTCATCCTTGGCCCCTCACCCACCTTGAGGATGTCAAATTAATAAACAGAAACCTCATTAAATTGGAGTCAGGAGGCCAAAAAGGGAAGCTTTCATGCCCTACATCCACAGCAGAGCCCAACAGGAAGAAGAAAGACTTCCTCTTCTTGACCGGCAAGAAGCTCAGCCAATGAGAGACTGTCACAGCTCAGCCAATGAAAAGCCACTACACATCAAACTCTCAATTCCTCCAATGGACTCTTTGTTTACAATAGTACTCCCAACTTCCTCTTCCCCTCTATAAAAGAATCTCTACCCCCTTGCTGCTGGGAGACTTGCACATGGCTCACCATGGTTGCAGACCCCAAATTGCAATGCTTTGCTGATCCTGAATAAACTCGTTTTTGCTGGAGAAACAACTGGCTATTTGTTTAAAGTTAACAAGGACTTGAAGTTGAAGTGGGCCAGGAGTTGAAAATTGGAGAATTTCATGAAAGCATTTAAAGTGCGGTGGCATTTTCTATCCTTTTGACATGGAGCCAGGTTCACTGGGCTTCAAAGAGACCACTGTGAGACCTTGACTCTTGGAGTCTATGGAGCACAGAGACTGGTGTTTGACCCATGCCTGAAAGGCTGTGACTGGAACCACCTTCAAGGGCCGCTGGCTGCACTGGTAGCAGGTTGGCAGTGTTAGATACATAGTATTTCACATGGGCCAGATGAGAGCCATGTAGGAGAGAGCCCGTCTGATGCCACTCTAAAGGGACCTTGCACAAGGTAGCCATTGGGACAGGCAATGAGACCTTAACAGATTGTCTGTGTGGAGATGACCTGCGCAGGAACTAGGATTTAAGGAGTTGTAAGCGGCCAGCTCAAGAGTGTGTGGCCTGCAGCAACGGGCTGCAGTGAGAGATCCCCAGTGGCAAAGCATTTCTCTGAAGCAGAACCTATTAAAGCACCCCACAAAGCATCAATCTTAGACATCTCCAAGGCTGGAGAAAACTAGCACCTGATTGGCACCAGTCAAGGAAAACATTTGACCTGCAATACTTCTCCTCTTTCCCTCGACTTCAAATCTGGAAGATTCAGAAACTACAGCTGGTGGATGAAGAGTCTGGTGGGAGGAGGAACTGGCAGAGAAAGGGAGAAGCCGTGTTCACCATCTCTTCCCACTGCAGCTGTCAGCCCAAAGCTTCACCATTACGTGTAGTTGCCAGTTTTGACAGTTGCATGAGAGGACATTTTGGTTATGAAAAGGAGAATTTTTTGGTGATTTTAAAGTGATCAGAGGATTTTTCTTTCTCAGAGAGTGAGCAGAAAAGCAGTGGAAACTGCCTCAAATTGCAACCAGAGGCAAGGGAAGGACAAGCCCCGCAGTTCAGGTCTGCAGGGCACTACAAGAAAAAAAATATAATTGGTTAATAATTGTACCTTACATGACCCACCCTTCCAACACTGTATGCGCCAGGTTTAGGTTTAGGGGTTGTGAGGATAAAAGGCAGTCTCTACCCTCAAGGAGCTCATCTCTGGTGAGAAATAAGTAAACGGACAATAGCTAACATTTATTTAGCCCTTATGCGAGTCCCAGGAACTCTTCTAAGGGCTTTATACATATTAATTAATTTAAACCTCACCACAACCCCATAGAGTGGACAATATTATTATTCAATTTTACTAATGCTGAGAGGGAGGCACAGAGAGGTTAAGCAACTTGCCCAAGGCCATGCAGTAAGTAGCAGAGCCTGGACAGGAACTCAGGTCATCTGACTTTGGAGCTCAGCTGTCAAGCATACTATACTGCCTCCCAGAACAGGAGGTATTATAATGGCTCCAGTGGGGCATCTGGCCTAGACTGAGCTAGGAAAGGCATCCTAGAGGAGGTGATTTTTTTTTTCAAAGGACGACATTTGAAGGATGATTAGCAATTTGAATAGAAGAGCACTAGAGGGTTCCGAGAAGGTGACACAGCGTGTGCACTGAATGCATTAGAGAATGGAGCTTCAAGCCATTTACTGAGGTTTTGCTGGAAAGTAGCTTTTTGAGGGCCCCACCTTGGTTCATAGATTTTGTATCTTTCATGTTATGCAACACAATGCCTTGCAAATGATAGGTTCTTCATAATTGCATATTTGAGCAGGGGACCCAGGTAAAAGTCTAGAATGTGCAGGTAGTTCTGAGTCAATGATTATGTCAAAGATGCAGTGCCAAAAAAAAAAAAAAAAAGGAATCTATTTGGTAAATTAAAACTACTAATTCAAGAAAAAAAGTAAAAGGCAACTCATATACCTAAAAACAAGGTGATACCTTGTAGACAAAGCTTATCTTTTCAATGGATTTTTTTGATAGATAGGGTAGAAATAGCCCTGATACTTTCTATATGGAGAAAATGTTCCCAACTAAAACATTCATGTCGACATTAGTCTTAACATTATTTGTGAAAGATACTGTGGTATTAGTGAAAAGCAGAAAAAGAATCTTAAAAAGAGTAAACTTTAGCCAGATGTCAGAGTGGTTTTGACAGCATTTTAAATCATTACCCAAACAGCTGTGGCTCTCTTGCACTCTGGTGTAAGTAAAGATTGACAGAAATTGCTGTATTTATTCCCAAACTATTTGGCTTTTGGCCAGGGCTTTGTCTTCCAATGCCCTGCCATTTCCTTGAGGGAATCATAAGGCTACTTGATGTTATTTTCTGGATTGCTGGGGTGTTTGAGATATTTACTTTTCCACTGAAGGAGTTCAGGACACGCCACCCGAAATAGGCCAGGGTTACAACTTAACCAAGAGGAGTAAATACTTCTTAGTCTGGGGGAATCACATGTCTCTTAGGAAGCAGGTTCTTATGACTAATTCTTAGAAGGTGGGTAATCATTCACAGTGGGTCATGACTCATAGCAGTAGTGACTAATGTTTGTTTATAGAGTGCCTACTGTGTGCTCTGTGCTATGCTAATATTTTATGTGGATGATCACATTTAATCCTCATGACTCCTCTATAAGAAGAGAACTCATTTCCACTTGGATGAGGCTTAGAGAGATTAAGTTGACCCAAGATTATTTGACCAGTGCCAGGATTTGGTCCAGGCTGTTTCACTCCAGAACTTTGTTCATAACCATTATGCTAGAGGCCACATATCCAGGGCCATTGGCCCGAGGGAACTGCAGCAGACCAGGACTCCCCAGAAACCTTACACCATGTCCATTCACCAAGATACTCACTCTGGGAACACAGAGGAAATTGGGATTATCTGTCCTCGTGTACCCTGTAACAGATCCTTCTAAAGCCTGGTCAGAAACAAAGACCTCCTCCTCCGGAGTCTCTGAAGTCCATAGGAGTGGGTTTCTTCCTTCTCCATAATATGAGTTTTAGGGCAAAAGAGAGGGGCACCTGGATATTTCTATTGAAATCATTCTTTTCCCAGAGGTCATTAAGGTATATAGAAATGTTTGCTCTCAAAATGATCCAAGCAAGACCACCTTGCTATTCTAGTTTATGTTTGTCCAGTCCCTTTCCTCGGACCATCTCTGCCAGTTGATACACTTTACACTGCCACAAGGCTCCTCCCCTGTCAGCTCTTGATTGATCTTTTGCAGCAGCATTCTTTACATATAGTCTAAGTGGAGCTAAAGGAAGTTAGAAGTAAAGGGTGAGCCATCCCAAACCCGACAAGACACTAAATTCCAAAAGTATCAGTTGTTTGAAACTTGTAACACATTTCCCCATAGAAACACTATCAGAGGAGGTGGTTATATACTCCTGTAGTACTGTGCAATTGTGTATTTAGCCCCCAGAGGAGCAGCAAGCCCGAAGATGAACCACTATTTACAATATTGTTTCTTTGTAAAATTATGTATTGAATTCTCACTCGTTCTCTTAACACATTTTTTTTGAATAGCACATTTTGTTAATTTGAGATTACATTTATAAGATTTATATTTCATTTTTTTATATTGGTCAAGGTTTGCAAGCTTTATTCCTCACACTCTTCCTTCCTTAGAAGTTCTTTCAATTCCTTAAAGAAGTTTCAAAACTTCACTTACTCAATTGCCTTTAGGGCCAATTAAAAGTGACAGAAGAAGAGTAGCTTCACTACATCTTAGTAATCCTCATTTGATCTCAAAAGATGGAGATTTTCCAATTGTGAGAATATTAAAAGGAATGTGCTGTTGGAGTCAAAAGCATTTCCAAAAGGGAATTTCTAAAACTCTTTTGTGTTGATGGCCCCAGTATAAGAGATGTATGGATTAGTATGGTGGTGACTATTTTGAAGGGTGAAAATATTCCTTTGGATGTATAATTTCTGGTCTGTTTCTTAAAAAAAAAAAATCTGTCAAGTCTCCTTATAGTCTCACCTCCTTCAAGTTATTAAATTACAGGTCGCTGCTGATTTAAATGACCTGTAATTCAATGACAAAACTCAAAGCCTTTACTTTTTCATGACAGATATGATAGTTTTGAGCCTGATGTGATCACTGAACTTGAATCAGACAGGCATGCTAAAGCTTAAAAAATAATAATAACATTTATATTAATAAGTAAGTAACAAGACCTGATACCTACATAGTGCTTTCTATCTTTCAAAGTTATTTTTTACATATTATTTCTGAGGGTGAATATAAACTTGTCGATAATCATTAGGAATTATTTCCAATTACAAATCAGTAACTTTTCTTCGAGAAGAACCCAGAAGAGTAGGCATCGGGTGGAAATTACTCACCAGGAAAGGACTTCAAAGGAAAATGGGGATTCAAGAAGCGTCCAGTGCAAACCATGACAGCATCAAAGACAGCTCTGTCCTGCTTCCCTTCTGTCTCTGTGACGACTTCCCACTGACCAGTTTTGGAGAAGTCTGGATGCTTCGTTACGCTGCACACTGTGGTCTGAAAGCAAAAGACAAACACTTTCTACCAATCACCTTGGGACCTCAGGCAGTGATTGGTGTGGTAAACATGTCTGTTATTTTGAGTGGGCCAAGACAGTCCCATGACAGGAGATCTGTCAATATTGGTTTATCTTCTTCCTAGAGAAGTTAAGTAACTTGTGCCAAGTCTCAAAAGTAGTCATATGGACTAGGACCCAAAACGTCCGAATGCCTTCATTGGGAGGAAGAAACATTCAGTCGTTATTCCTGGCCAGAAGGAGATGAGTTACAATACTGGATGCATGGGAAAAATTTAGGAAAATGAGTTTTGACCCATTATAATTTTTGTGGTTCAGACTTCTAGTCATGTCTTCCCAATGGGTTTCATGAACAAAACTGATTTTTCCTTTCCTCTCTAAAATCTAAATTTCATCCTGAATGAGAGTTTGGATTTAGAGGAGGAATCAGGAAATTCATTATTTTAATGATTTGTTTGAGGAAAACATGAGAAGCAGAAATGAGGAGTCTTTATTATCTGGCTTATTCATATAGAGACAAAATCAGGAAGAAGTTTACTTAAGCATCCCATTTCCACTAGATCGCTGAATGGGCCAGCCCTACTCATCAAGCTTCACAACCCAAGGTGTCTTACCCTAAACTGAATGTATTTCAGAAGGTCAAAGTGCTCAGCAAATTCTTGAAGATAGTCCCAAAATTTTTCTTGGTTCATGAAATTGGGATAATCTTCTTGGAATGGGAAGTCACTGTAACACGACATTTCTTTGCAGACATTTGTCACTAATGACCTGTAGACCCTGGTCATCCCATCTTTAGAAGTTTCCTGTGGTGAAAGCATAGTTAGCCTGACGGGGTGGAGGAGACAGGAGGAAGAGAGCAGAGATCATCAGCAGTTAGTGTTCCACTTGTAAAGAGTTCCAGGAAAACTTAGCCTTGGGTCTCCATGCTATAGTTACCAGAAATCATCGGTGGGATTGGAATGATTAAATACAGTATCTTTCTCAAATTACAAAGAAGCTAAGCTAACAAAGTTTAACAGGGCTCTCCAAGACTAACACTTCCCCTATACAACGCCATGAACCCAGGGCCCATGGTCTCACTTGCTCATCTTCTCCTTCTTCCCCTGCCATGAGTGATCCCTCCACTCATACTCTGGACTTCTTCCTCTTGCTTTTGCTCAGGGAACTTCTTGCTGATTTTTCTGTTTATTGTCTATGTATATTTTTGGTCACTCTCTCTTTGCTGGCTCTTTCTCACCAGCACTTACAATACTGAAGACTCTAGTTTTAGAAACAAACAAAGCCCCCTTTCAACCTATGTCCCCTTCCAGCCTTGTCCCTCTGTACTCTCTCAATCTTCATGAAAGAATCATCATGCACTCGCAGCCTCTGTTTTCTCATGGACTGCTCAACTTGTTGTCTCGTCTCAATCTCCATCACTCAAAAACCAAAACAACAAAACAAAATGATCTATATTAAAGGCACCAATGAACTTCTTGCAGCTGCAACTAATTTCTATTTCTCCTTCAAGTCTTTTCTTAGCCGTCACTTTCTCTAAGAAGCCTTCTACGCCCCATCAGATCTGCATAAGGTAGCTGTTGTGGCCCCACGACACCCTGTACTTCTAACATACAACTGATCACACTGCATTGTGATGATTTGCTTACTGTTTCTGTTCTCCACCAGACTGTAAGGAGTGCAGGGTCCCTGTCTATCTTGTCCCCTATTGTGTCCTGGTAGAGGGACATCATAAGTACTTGTTGAATGGATGAAAGTAATACTACAATTGCGTTTTTGAATAAAAAGTATACATATGACTGGAAGAAATTACATACAAATTTTAATAGTGCTGACTGTGGATATTGGTATTATGTTTAGTTTGTATTTTTCCTTTTGTTTAACTCAATATTATTTTCTAAAGTTAATCTAGACTGCTTTAGAATAGGAGAAGGAAACCAAACCAATCGTGGGGTCAAATAGCAGAAGGTACACAAACCAGACCCAATACTTTCTTTCCATGTTGACGTTTGGTGGCTTGATGAAACTCTCAGTACATTATAAGAATTTTTTTTCCTAGTACACTATAATCCTAGGGTTGTGACCATTCCTGCTTACATATATTTGCTTATTCTATTTTCTTCACTATCCATCAAAGATTGGCAAATGCCACTTCCTCCATGAAGGCTTCCCTCATTCACACCAGTTTGAAGTACTCTGCCCCACATTGAGGTCCCACTGAATGTTGCTCTTCTCTTCCCCTTGAAGCATTTAGTACTTGGGCTTCCCATCTTCTAACACCTTACACACCACCACTGGGGCAGATCCCTCGATCCCCACTGAAGACCCTGCCACACCCAGTAACCAGGACCAATCCTGGCCAGAGGCAGGTGGTATTTAGCCACTTCCAGCCCCACTCTCTAATGCTCATGTCATCTAATGGCTGGCCTAGCCCTGACCATATCCCACTGGGCTGCATATTCCACTCTTAAGAAGGGTTGATCAGTGCCTGGGTTCCTCTTTTTCTGATAATGGGAAGGCTTCTCCCCCCCCCCGCCCCCCCGACTTTTCAAGGTCTGGATTCTTGCCTCACTTTTGCCAGTTCTCTTCCCATGCCTGGTGGCTGGGGCTCCACTCCCTGATGCCAACTTCCATCATCCCTAGAGTCCTCTGCTCCATATTCACAATGCCTTTCAGCTTACCCAATGTGACACTCTGCTGCTATGTCTTAGAATGCCCATGGTCTAGAAATCATCGTAACTTCTACGTGTACGTCTCAGACTCAACTCTTCCTTCTTCTCTCTTCCAACTGTCCCTGCCCCTGCTCTGACAATTCTCCAGGTTCACCCCCTATCACACTGCATCCTGCACAGTGTTGTTAGCATGGCACCATGCCCCAGCTTGTGTTGTGACAGTGTGCTGCTGCCGTACTTGATCACCAAAGTAGGCTAAAGCCACCACACCTGAGCAGGGACAAAGCAAATGGCCAGATTATGACTGACAGAGGTGGGAAGGTCTGAACTACGCACGGTATACTTCCATAGTCCCCCGATGTCATTACTTCTTTCAAAGCAGGTGGGCTCCAGGTCCTCATCCAAGCAGCATTTGATGGAGGACAGGCCACTCACACCAGCTCCAACCACTGCAACTCGCTTGGCCATGGTTTGCTCTGTTGGAAGAAGGTCGAGCAGAGCTTCTTTATATGACAAGGCTGGAAGGGAGCCCTTGTCACAAAACTCAACTTTTTTTTTTTTTTTTGAGGAAGATTAGCCCTGAGCTAACATCTGTTGCCAATCCTCCTCTTTTTTGCTGAGGAAGATTGGCCCTGGGCTAACATCTGTGCCCACCTTCCTCTCCTCTCTATGGGGCGCCACCACAGCATGGCTTGACAAGCGGTGCATTGGTTCGTGCCGGGAATCTGAATCTGTGAACCCCTGGCCACTGAAGTGGAATGTGCAGACTTAACCACTAGACCACCAGGCTGGCCGCCAGAACCCAACTTTTTTAGTGATATAAATACTCTCCTTTCACCTTTGAGCTGAGGCAGAATGACATCTTGGTTAAAAATTGAAGGCTCTGGGGGCTGGCCCGGTGGCGCAAGTGGTTAAGTGCGAGTGTTCTGCTGCAGCGGCCCGGGGTTCGCTGGTTTGGATCCCGGGCACGCACCGATGCACTGCTTGTTAAGCCATGCTGTGGCGGCGTCCCATATAAAGTAGAGGAAGATGGGCACGGATGTTAGCCCAGGGCCAGTCTTCCTCA